CTGAGAATAACAGCTTAAAAGAGGAAAAGGTTACTTGGGCTCAAGATTTCAGCCCATGGTCCTCTGGTTTCATTGCTTTTAGGCTTGTGGTGAGGCAGCACTTCGGGGGTGAAGAGTGTGGCAGAGCAAAGGTCTCACCTCACAGCAGACAGGAAGCAGAGGGACAGCGGGAGCAAGAGAGCCTGAAAGGAAGGGGCTGAGAGCCCAGAGTTTCCAAGGCCCCACAGCTCACCCCCTTCAACTAGGCCTCGCCTCCTGTTTCCCTCTTCTGCCAATCATGCCATCAAATTCTGATAATGTTAGAGCTGGCAGCATCCAAGCTCCTCTCAATAGCACCACTTCTGAGCACTGCTGCATGGGGAGCCAAGCCCCCAACACAGCCTTGAAGGGTACATGTATCAGATCCAGTCTGTAGCAGTCTCTGACTGGGGTTTCCAACATCTAAGCAACACCCACGTGACAGGACCCCGTACCCCTTTCCTGATGACTACCTTGCAGTCCAACACAGAAGGATTAGGCTTTCTACCCTCTCTCTCCCTGGCTGAAACATATGCTGGACATTAAGTCTGTCTTCTTCACTGAGGCATCCCAGGGCCAGGCTAGTGCCTTGCCCTGTGGGGTTGTACAAGGGAGAATGACAGGAGGCCATGTCTGAGCAGGGTGCATGTGCGCATGGACACGCATGTGTGCATGTGCGTGCGTACGTGTGCGTATGAAAGCCTCTCTCTATGGCATCCTCCTGACTGCATCTTTCTATGTCTCTTACTCGTTGGCCACATGGCTGCCCATTGAACTGTATTTTCTCTCTCCAGGCGCCACTGTAGGTGTGTGCCCTTTGGGGTCCTGGACTCCTCCCACCCACCTCCTGCCTCTTTGGTGGGTGTGTCCTACTGGCCCCTGGCACCGAGAGTCTTATTTGGTGATTATCCCTGACATCTCCCTCTGCTGAAAGGCCACCTGGGTGCTGCCACTCAGAGGACGTCACCGTCTTGCCCCAGCAGTGGGGAGAGCGGGGAGGTGACACGAAGACTCCACCTCCCAACACCTCCTCCATGTTTAGGCCCCACATAGTGCATTTCCTTCTTCCTCAGAGCGGGTCTCTGGGGAAATGGTACTTACAGAGATTGAAGAGTTTAATACGTGTCTGGCTTCCTCTCTTCTCAGAAGCCCTCAGAGAGAGCAGCAGAAGCTGGGGCCGGCAGGGGCTCCAAGCCACCGGGTGAAGAAGCAGAGGGTGGTGTGGAGCCTCAGCCGATTTGGAAAGCACCATGACCTGAGTGCATTCTGCAGTATCAGTGTCAAATTCTGCTGTTCAGGCATGCCATTAGTGTGCACGCTGCCACATGGAAACCAGTGACACAAAGGTATAGTTGTCCCCACCCTCCCGTGCTTAGAAACTAATGCTCTAATGAGAAACGAGAGCTGAAAGGAGAGAGATGGGGGGTGGGCCAGCACTGCAGCCTGGCGCTGTGTGTTGGAGGAGGCTGACCCACTTCTTTTGGAGGTAAGGGACCCCCTGAAATTACATTTAAATTAGCCAGTGCTCCCCGCACTAGCTCTCCTTTGTCCTCTCCCTCCCTGCTCTTGGAGGGAGCACTGTCAGTATGCCCCGCAGCTACTCTCTTTCTCTCCTTTCTTTCTCCCCGGAGCAGCTTTGGTCCCTGTAGCCAGTGGACTTTTTAGGGCCGTCAACTACCCTGATTGCAGCAGCCCTCTTAACAGAGACAGGACAACTCGAGAGAGAGCGAGCGGGTGGGCATTCATCATGCTGAGCATCCCGCTCTTTTTCTCTGGCTTTTGGATTGTGCTGTGAGTTATTTAGCCAACAATAGATGTTTATGTATATTTTTTTAGAGATCGTATTTATTAACAGCCTGTGAAGGGGGAGGCTGGGAGATTTATACAGAAAGTGCAGTGAGTTAAAAGGGACAATTAGAGGAGCAGAAAGAGATATCGAGCATGGAATTGAAAAGGATATTTTAACGCACAATCAGAGGTTCTTGAGATATTTTCCAAGTAGACAGAAAGGTAAAAGAAAATTGGCCTATTACGAGCTGATAGTGGGGGATTGGTGACATGGATGGAGTAATGGCTGATGGGCTAACCTCCTGCTTAGAGAAAGGGGAAGCCACAGAGCAAGGCTGGGAGGAAATGAGCCAGGACACAAGCACAGCCAGGTCAGGAGGTTTTAAATCAGTGTGGGAAAGGACCCCATCAAAATGTGCACGTGCTTTTCCTTGGGGAAGAATGGATTCCTTTAGGTCACTGGAGAAGAAGACCAGGAGGGGGATCTGATCAGGGACTGATGAGAGCAGTCTGAGGACTTTATATGAATATGACAAAGGATTTGCTGAGGACTCCCAAGCCCCTCTCAGAAAGCCCGTTATCTCTGAGCCCCGGCCCTGCAGCCTCTTCTCTGAGAAGCCCTCCTGGCTCCCCGCAGCTTCTGAGAGCTGCTCAGAGGCCTTTGGAGTCCCTGCTGGCCAAGGATTGCTGGGTGATTAGTTAGGTGATGAGTAAACATTTGCTAAGTGGAATTCTTGGCTCCTTGGTAATGAACAGCCCTAGCAGAAGGGGGAAATAAGATGCAATTCAGGGGAGTGGTCCTGGGGATGCTGGTCTGCCAGAGTGGAGGTGGCTACGGAGGTGTCAGGGAGGGGGTGTCTGGCAGCTGAGGATAGCCCTGGGGGACAGGAGAGCAGGGAACACAGGCCATGGAGACTAAGTGGTTATGGAACACATTCTGAGCTTGGAAGCAGCAGGTGTCTGGGAATGAGACTGTGGCCCAGGCAGATTTCCAGCAAGCGCTCTAGCTTGCTGGCACAAAGGAAGGATCTGGCTGAGCTCGAGAGGCAAGTTGCGATGATGAAACCCACTGTTGAGGAACTTACGCAAGGGTGCCACAGTGGAGACCACGTGCTCGTGGAGAGGCTGAGGGGTGGGTGGGACTGCGCCAGTGAGGGAGCCACGCATCTCCTCCACTTTCAAGGTAGAGTGCAAGTCTCTGAGTGGGACCCCTCCCTCCCCCCCGCCTCTCCCTGCCTGGCGGGTCTCCCAACACCTCAGTGAACAGTGCTCCCAGCTCTCAGCTTGAAGTTGTTTTATTTTTTTATTTTTTAGGGGTACCAGAAATCGAACTCATGACCTCACGCTTGCCAGGCAGGCGCTTGTGCCACTGAGCTATATCCCTGGCTGCATCTTGCAGTTGTTTGTACAGACCCCAAGGTGGTGCCAGTGTGAGTCTCCAGCCTTTGCTTTGGAGTCTTACACTTTTCTCTGGCCCGCTTCTCATCCTTTGAGACCCACCAGTGTCACCTCTTCCTGGGTGCTCTTTCTGAGTGTCCCCATCCCAACCGAGTTTCTTGTCTCTGTGGATGCAGGTGCTAACACAGCACCAATCCCACACCAGCAGGGAACGTATGCTTCTACATGTAGGATCTGAGCTCCTTACAGAGAGCCACAGCCTCTCACTTTTATGTCCCTGGAGCCTGGACAATAGTTGGCACCAGGGGCCCTTGATTAGTGTTTGCGAAATGAACAGCAGAGAATCAACCAAGCTGTGGGGTTACGAGTTGTGTGGGAGGACTCTGAGACCACCAGGGCCCACCCTGTTCCTCTGGCAGGGCTGCCTCTGCCCCTCTGTCATTCTAGAGTGGACGGCTGCTTGGTGGGAGGGGAAGGAAGAAGAGATGGTTCCTCCTGGGGCTCCCCGGAAGCAGAGATGGCAGAGGGGCTGAGCTGCTCAGAACAGAGGGGAGTGGTCTCAGCCCTGGGGAGGACGGGACATCTTCCTGTCCTAAATAACTCAGGGGGTGACCAGATCTGATGAAGAGAGAAGCCTTGCTTTGCCCCTGATGGTATCAATTTGCTTTGATGTTTGGGATAATGGTGTCATCAGAGAAAGGTGTCATCAGAACTGCGTAGCATATAGCTGTCAAGTGACAGGTGATGTCATCTGCAACAGAACTGCCTTGATTGCCCCGACCTCCTAGAAGAGAAAGCTACTAAAAGTACAGCTGGCGTCTTGGATTCCCACTGCCCAGCCTGTAATAATAGCAACCGGAGACTGCTGGGCTGGACAGAGCAGTGCCTTTAGAAGACATTAACATTTCTCCTTTTGACATTCTGCTTCCACCATATAGGACTTACTAAGTCTTTTTAAAAAATTTAATAAAGTGCTTAGACTCTTGATTTTCCCACTGAGGGCCTGGTTGTCTGAGGTTCAAAATGAAATCAACAACATAACAACCTCTTTGGGTTCTAAGGGACGGCCAGGCCCTGGCACCAGGCTGGGTCAGATCAGGGAGACCATGAGGGGTGGCTACAGGCATGAGATGCTTTGTTCTGCAGTCAGCCCATCCCCTTTTGTGAATGTCCCAGGCCTCATACTGAGGAAGATTTGTCTATTCGGGCCTGAACACACAGCCCTCCACACTTCATCTGGGGAACTCACTCCTATTCCAAAGCTAGAGAGGCAAACGCAGCCTCCAGTCCCTTCCCCTGTTATCCTAGGCACTCCCTGGCCTCCTGGAGAATCTACCCAGTGCCAGGTGCCAGGACCTGGCTGTCCCCTGCAGGGCACCACCCAACTCCGTGAGAATCAATAGCTCGGTGGCTGCATCTGAGGCTCTTGGTAACAGGCCAGGAAGGATTCAGGACCAGCCTGCTCTGGAGAGAGACACAGAGATGGTGCCAACCCAGTACAGCCAGAATGTGGGAAGTGAATCATGTTCTGGGCATGCAAGGGGAAAGTCCGCAGAACAGAGAGCCAGTGTGTGTGTGTGTGTGTGTGTGTGTGTGTGCGCGCGCGCGCGCACGCGTGTGCATGTATGCATGCTCTTGTATATCCCCATGAGTCAGTGCACCCCTGCCCCCTACAGCTCCTCCTGCCAACAAATGTGCTGTGTTCTCAGAGCTGTGCTGGGCCAGGCTCGCCTACCCCTCAAGCCCAGGATCTGCCACCCCTTCAGGAATGCAAGGTTAGGAAATGAAAAACAGTGTTCTTGTCCAAGAGAATTTTTTTTTTATTATTTTTCTCTCTTAATTGGATTCAGTGTTTCTCACTCCTCACACTCACCCTCTCTGGTGGGGAATTCAGGTTTGTGCAAAGCGCAAGAGACTGCAAGCCCAGGCCCCTGGCCAGCAGCCCCTCTCCCATCTGGGCTTCCCCGCTTCATTACTTGTGTGTCTCTCATCCCTGCTCCTGACCCCTGAGTCCGGCCCACTGACCTCTGCCCATGCATGGACATCCCAGAAGGGTCAGGAGGGACAAGGCCTCTGCAATGCGGAGTGCCTGAGACGGCTCATGAAATGCCCTTATCGTTCCCCTTCTGCTACGGCCACCTGATGCTTCCCTCATGCCAAGCTGCACAGGGCCCTTGCTGGTTCACTCACCAAAAAACCTCAGGTTAAAATGCAGCAGTAGAGCCATGCTGGAAGCCTGGGCTCCTCCTCAGAGTCTCCCTGGCCTGACCAGATTGTCGCTGGCCAAGCGCTAGGCTGATGACACTGTCCAGCCACTTGGACTAACACTGTGGATGCTGCTGGGCCTGCTGGCTTAAAAACCCCAGGGCCCCTTCTTTCCTTTTTCCATCTTGATGGCTCCTGGTTCCTGGCTCCCTGATGTCCAACAGGCTGCTTCCCACTTTTCACCCAGACACCCACAGCTTCTACATTAGGGATAACGGGGTGCTCCAGGGTGCCAGGCAGGCTTGTGTTGCATATAAAAACAAGGTGATGTTCTAAATATCTAAGGATATTGGTCCCCTGAAGTGAATCTCACTGCCTCTCTTTCTCTCTAAACTGTCCCCCTGACCTCTTGCCCCAGGTCCTGGCAAGCCTGTGTTACCTAGGGACTATTGTTGCCAGGTTGGGATTCTAGACAAAAATTCTATAACTTTTCTTCTTGCTAGAAATCACCAATACAATCCTTAGTTCAGCAGACATAGTTTTCCATATAGTTTATAAACATGATAAGACATACAGTTTGGTAACAGAAGGGGGCGGGGAACCTGTGCATTTGTATATATATATATATATATTTATATGTGTAGTGTGTGTGTGTGTATATATATATAAGTGGATGTAGGTATAAAACTGCACCTTCTGTGAGAATTTCATTGCATGTGATGAAGTTCTAAACTTCAGCCTCTGATGATCTTTCCTTTGGTGATTGGTTCTTAGACCCCAGCAGTTGGACCTGGATCTGCCAGGGTTGCCTGAGACAACAGGAACAAGAGGCGTTACCCTTAAGGGAGAGACTGAAGGTGACATAGGGTTGGATTCAGGGCAGGTTCACTACATGGCCTCAGGCACAGGCCAAAATGCCACCTGCTCAACTGCTCTGACTGCTGGTCAACCCAGCCATCTCAGCCTTGTTTGTTCTGAGTTCTGCTTCCTCCAGGAATGGTGGGGCCCTTCAGGCCTCTCCAAATGATCAGGATTCCACAGAGCCGAGCCCACTGGAGGGGCACTTGTCCCATTGCTGCTAAGGAAGGACTCACTGTGCATAACTTTTACCGCCTTGCTGGAGTGGACGCTGTCTGTAGGTGCTTGGCGGGGGCTGGCTGGGACAGCTGAGTGAGATGTGCTTGCTAATCCCCTCCCGTCTAGGGCTATACACTTTGGGTTTATAATCCACCAGGTAGGGTCCAGACAGCAGCTGAAGGCTCTATCAGCCTTTTCCTGAAACCCAGCAGCTCTTCCACTTGTAAAAAAAAGAAGAAAAGAAATTCTGTTCCTTGATGGACATGTGGCAGTGCTGGGTGCTGGTGCCCTGGGTCCTCAGCGGAGAGTGACCGCCAGCCCCAGTATCCAGGCCAGGAGCGAGGCCCCCAGAGAACAGCCTGAGGATGCCTGTTGCACCCCGCTGGGGGTGCGGATGGGGGTCCTGCGAGCACACTTGCCCTTCCTCTTGGGCCGAGCTGTGGGCATGATGTCAAAGCTGAACTTGTGCTGGTAATCGGGAGCATAGTCCTGCAGCTCATGGGGCTGTTTCCCGGTGCCTGCCTTAGAGATCTGGTTGCGGTTCCTGTGGCTGGTACAATTCTTGCCTGGCTTCTTGTAACCTGACCTGGAGCCAGGCTGATGGCTGTGCGGGTGGCCCCTGTCCCTGGCCGGGCCATGGGCCGGGTGATGCTCTTTACGGGCAGCCCTGTCAGTGGTGGTGAGGGTATGCGACTTGATCTGGTGTGGGGACGCTGGGCCTGTGCAGTTCCGGAAGTCCTCAGCCCTCAGCATCTTCAGGTCCTGGCCTTGCCGCAGCTCAGGGGATGCGCAGGGAACAGCCGAGCTGGAGCCTCGGAACCTCCGCAGCCATTCCCACAGGGAGCGCGCCTGGCAGCCACAATCCCAGGCATTCCCATTCAGGCGGAGGAACTCCAAGGCTGTCAGGGGGGCCAGGCAGTCGCCCTGCAGCTCCGAGAGACTATTGTTGAAGAGAAAGAGGGTGGTCAGCCTGCGCAGGTCATGGAAAGCCTTGTGGTGGACCCACTGCAGCTGGTTTTCATGTAGGAGCAGTCGGTCCAGGTTCACCAGGCCCCGAAAGGTCCCCTGGCCCAGACTCCACAGCTTGTTGCCGTGAAGAAACAGGTGGCTGAGATTGACCAGGTCCACAAAGATGTCGTCCTGCAGATACTCAATGTGGTTGTCCTGCAGGTACAGATACTGCAGGCTATGCAAGCCATTAAAGATACCTGCTGGCAGCGCACTGAGCCCACATTTATAGAGGTAGAGGGCATGGAGCTTTACCAGGCCCTGGAAGGTTTCGGGCGCCAGAGTCCGCAATTGTCGATTGTCGCCCAGGTCCAGCTCCTCCAGGTGCACAAAGCCCTCGAAGGTGTTGGGATCAATGAAGGTGATGTTGTTGGAGTAGATCCACAGGGTCACCATGGCAGGGCTGAAGTGGCCCTGCTGGAGGAGGGTGATGCGGTTATTCTGCAGGAAGACGCGCTCACTGTCCTCAGGGATGCCCTCAGGGATGGCGGCAAAGTTGTGGGCCTGGCAGCTGACTGTCATGGGAGCTGGGTAGCACACACAGTCCCTGGGGCAGCCGCTGCCCAGGGGCAGCTCCACGGCCAGCAGCAGCAGCAGCAATTCCACACAGCACCCTGGCGGGGAAAGAGACAGCACAGCCGGTCAGGGGCTGCCTGAGGAGGTGGGAAACAGAGTACGGAGGATGGTCCTGTGCCAGTCCTCCCCTGGGCTTGCTAGGCCTTTGTCCCCTTCTGCCCTGTGCTGAGGGTCTGTCAGGTAGCCCCCTGAGAGCCTGGCCCCAGAATGGAGGAAAGTAGAGGTCCAAGTCCTCGCCTGGACCTTGTCTTAGACTGAAAATCTCTCCTACTTCTTGGCACCTCACACCTACTGAGGTTTAATCCCCAGCCTGGGTGGCAGGTATATTTGGGGTGAAGGCCCTGATCACCCACATACTCGAATGCTCCTGGGCCTCGCCTGCTCAGGCCGTCAGCCCGGCTGTGTGAGGGCCACATCCACGGACACAGCCCGCCAGCCTCCAGGTCTTATCCCAGTGCAGCCACTTGCTTACCATGATCAGCATTCACAGAGAGTTGTTCCAACAAAGTAAATATCTCCCACGGAGTCCTGAGGAATCATTTTATTTAAATTATTTCCCCAAACAAGCAAAGCACGCATACACGACACCAAAATGCACCTCAAAAGATGTTTCATTTACAGTGCCTTTCACCATCCTCAAATATTTGATGTCCCCTATGTGCCCCAGTTTCCTCATTTCTAAAAGGCAGGTAGCAGTAATGCTCCCTTACAGAGCTGTGTGGATACATGGAGACCTCACATGTCTGTGAGGGCCTGGAGGTGGCACCAGGGAGGACACATGACACTGCTCTGGGTTTCTTGGAAACCGCCAGACTGACACTGCCCCTATCGGGGCCACCTTCCAGTCCGTGCCCCTCCTGGCCTCCAAGGCTGTGGCTGCAAAGCCAGGCCTTGCCTCTCAGTTGTCCGGAGCATTTCCTCTGTAGCTTCCCTCTAATTGGGCATTAATTAGGCATTCGTTAATGGATCCTTAAAATAATTTATTTTCGGATGTGTCCAGCCTGTGGTCGGGTAATAGCCCCACACTCATTATCGGAGAAGCCTCATTATGGACGATCGTCATTACCTGCCTTTTTCCAGGGTCACAGCTGCCCCAAGCGGCCCAGCAGGCGCGCCAGGGTGGAGGGGACAGGCTCCAGGCCTACAGACATCCACCCCAGAGGGCCAGGCAGTCATCTCCTCCCTGCCGGGGTTGGCCTCTTGCCCCTTTTCTTCCAGCTTGTCTGGCCGTCCCTCCTGAGAGCCAGGGTTCCTGGGGCAGTTCAGCACAGTCTTCCTGCTGCCAGCTGTGCCCAGAGCATTTGGGCTGAGAGAGCCCACCCTCCCCACCACTCCAGGGCCGGTCAGCTGCCTGCCTGGGCTCCCAGGCCTGCTGCTGCCCAGGCCCAGCCGCAGCCCCGGGTCCTGGCTGAGCAGGTCTCACCGCCACCGCCACCTCCTTATTCTCGGCAGAAACAGTGTTGTACATAAGTGACAGCTCCCAGCTGTTGGGAGTTATGGGCTCCCAGAGAGTGGCAGCTGCTTCCTGTCCCCCTGCAATCACCCGGCTTCAACTGAACGTTTCCAGCACATAAAAATCATTGCACATAATTTAGTTTTTGCATAATTGGGTTCGGTTGCGCTTTCAGAGCAATTATGCCCTCCATAGTGGTGGCAACACAGCATCATAGGCCCTTTCTGAACCAAGCCATTCTCTCTGTGTTGCCCTTGCAATGCCTTCCATCACCCCAGCCGTGGCACAGCCTATAGGCCAGGCCATGACGACAGCGGTCTCTACCTCAGTTTCTCCCTCCAGAAGTCAGATGATCACTCTGACAGCCCTCCTGTTTGGAGGCCTGGGTGTAGCCTCCAGCCTCCATTTCTGCCTCTATCTGCTCGGGAGCCCCGGCCCTGCTGGGGGAGGCAGGGGCGTGAGGGGGTAGGAGCCTGTGCTCCAGATCCCAGCCTCCTCTTGGGGAGCCTGTCCCTCACTAGCTACACATTCTACAGGGCCACAGCTCCAGATTGCTTGGCTCAGCTCACACCTCTCACCCTGCCCAAGCTGCTTGCTTCCAAGAAGGCACACCTGCCAGAGTCTTCCCCAGGGAGTGGCCCCCTCCTGGCCACTCTGTGGAGCCCGGGCTCTCCCTCCTGACTCAGGGCATGCAGTGTTCACCACGCCCATCCCACATTTCAGGCTGAAGGGGACTCAGTGGTGCAGTAGCTACCAGGGGTCCTGTAAAGACAAAGGAATTTTCTACTTTCAGCCTGCAGCTGCAGGGCACGGGGTAGGCGGTGGGGGCTGTGTCAGGCTTAGCACTAATACCATTCAACATTTATACAGCTCGCTGGAGTTTACAGAGCGCTTCTGTCTGCGCTCTTCTGATTGCCAGACCTACTCTGTGTGGTGGGGGTGTGGGACATGGGGGGGCTCTCCTCTGCTTGCTGTTGTGGCTCTAAGTCCTTAAGGCCCCAGAGAAGCCAGCAGGGGTGGGGTGGGGTGGGGCTCAAGGGCAGATGTATGCCCAGCCCCAGGAAAAGAAAGCTGATACCCCCAGGGGATGCCAGTGTACAAGAGAAACCAGCCAGGACCTCAGTGTAAGTGAAAATGCCAAAGTGCCCCAAAATCCAGGTGTGGGCTTAGTAAAAGACTTGTGAATATATGGCGGCAGGAGGAAGGCTCCAGAGGGCAGGGCAGCATGCAGGCGGGAACCGAGGCCCTGGTCCTCTCACCTTCCTCTGAGAGGGCCACAGGAAGATGAGGGACTCCAGCCACGGCTTGGCCCAGGGCCAGGCTCATGTTCCCTACTGCCTTGAGGAAGAACATGCTGTTGTGCTGGGATCTGGGGCAACAAGGCCACAGGGACGGCACGGGGCAGTCACTTCCTGCCAAAGGCCAGAGGACAATGAAGGGCTCCCTGGGAAACAGGACGGTGGGATCAGGCCCAGGGCAGCTGCTCTCTGTCTTTCAGTACTGCCCACGTGGCAGAGCCTGTGCCAGGGAGGTCGCCCTTCCAGATACCCGCCCCTCCCACTGTGGGATGAGGTCTCAGCTGACTGCCTCTCCAGCCCGGAAGCTGCTCCATCTTCATGCCCCTTGACTAGCTGTCCCAGTCAGCTCCACCCACTTCTGCACCTCCTAGCTTAGCCAGGGGGTGCCAGACCCCGGATCACCATGCTGCAGATGTCTTCCCATGGAGGCAGGAGCTACGTGGAGGAGGAGCCATGGCTCCTCCTGTGCCCCCTTCCTGCAGCCTTTGGGAGCCCTGATTCGCTGATCGCCTGATTAATGTTTTAACGACGAGGCCTGTGCTTTGTTGTACATTTTGTTTTGGTTTGGTTTGGTTTTTTGTTTTGTTTGTTTGTCTGTTTTTGAGACAGGGTCTCACTGTGTAGTTCAGTCAAGACTTGAACTCACTAGACAGCCCAGGCTGGCCTCAAAGTCACATTGATCCTCTTGCCTCAGCCTCCCGAGTGCTGGGATTGCAGGCATGTGCCACCACTCCTAGCTATTGTGCATTTTGTATGACTCTCTCTTTTTTTTTTTTTTCTGGTACCGGGAATTGAACTCATGACTTTGCACTTGCCAGGGAGGCGCTGTGCCGCTGAGCTAAATCCCCAGCCCTGTTGTGCACTTTAAGACTTCAAATTAGCAGGGATCCATGTTTCTGTGGAGGAGGCTTACATTTCCCATACAGCCTCTCAGCCTTCTCCTGGGGTAGGAGTGGGGGTGCCTGAGGGTTCTGAGGAGGGCAGACCTGGGGTTTGCCCGCCTGTTCCTCAGGGTGATGCGCTCTGCTGCTCAGCTGCTCCCAAACCTCTCAGCTGCCTGCATCAGAGCTCACCAGGGTCTCCACAGCCTCATCCCTTGGCGTCATCAGGCCTCACTAACAGAGTGGGGAACTCATAAAACCAGGCTGTCTGCTCAGGTGCTGGGGCCCAGGGCCCGGGTGCCTGGCAGGGGATGGGGAAAATGGGAGGAGGGGCTCAGGAAGGCTCCTGCTGCCCCTGTGCCTCTGCCAACATGTCCTGTCACTGGTTAACAATGTTGCACCAACAGTCTCTCAACCTCTTGGAGCAGATCTGTGAAATGGGGCTGAGAAGAGTTCTTGGCACCCAAGGCCGTCTTAGGACTCAGTAAAAAGGCTCTGGGTTCAGCCCGGCACTAGCACAGAGGATGTGCAGGCAAGGGAGACAGCACTGTTTCAGGTTCTACTTTCTGCAAATCTTAACCCCACTCACCAGGCAGGGACCATGGGGGGGAAGAGGAGTGGTCTGAGTACAGATAGCCACCTTTGTTGAGCCGGGCATGGTGGCGCATGCCTGTAAATCCCAGCAGTCGGGAGGCTGAGGCAGGAGGATCATTGCAAGTTTGAGACCAGCCTGAGCTACAAAGTGAGCTCAAGGCCAGCCTGAGCTCAAGGTCAGCCTCAGCCTCCCGAGTGCTGGGATTACAGGCGTGTGCCACCATGCCTGGCTCAAGAAAGGTGGCTAAGCATTAAAGCCAGAGCCTGTGGGGCCCCCACTACACTGCCTGTCTGACGTGGGCCTGGAGCAGGAGTTTTGTCAGTGCTAGACCGAGTGCAGAGGTCTCTGGCCACCCCTGCCCTGCGTTTTACTGGGCCCAGCTGAGCTGAGGTTACAACCTCTGTGAAAGCTGAGAACTGCATAGCAAGACCCTGTCTCAAAAAGACAAAAAAAAACACCAAAAAACAAAAAACAAAAGAGATAGCCACCTTCCCCAGCCCTTTCAGCAGCCCCAAGAGGGGGCTGACTTGGTAAAATGGGTGGGAAGGCAAAGTCAGAGGGAACAGCATGTGCAAAGGCACTGAGGTGCAAAGTCAGATGGCAGGCACTACCTTTTTCTTTTTCTACCCCCTTCTAATTAGAGCTTTCACAGAGGTTGTGGTGGGCGTGGCAGTACAAGTGGTGCATGCCTGTAATCTCAGCACTCAAGAGGCAAGGATGGTTGAGAGTTTGAGGCCAGCCTGGGCTACAAACTGAGTTCAAGACCAGCCTGAACTGCACAGTGAGACCCTGTCTCAAAAAGACCAAAACAAAACAAAACAAAACAAAAAAACAGAGGTTGTAACCTCAGCTCAGCTGGACCCAGTAAAACCCAGGGTAGGGGTGACGAGAGAGCTCTGCACTCGGTCTAGCACTGACAAAACTCCTGCTCCAGGCCCACGTCACACAGGCAGTGTAGTGGGGGCCCCACAGGCTCTGGCTTTAATGCTTACCATGTTCTCTACATGGAGCATCCTGGAGGAGGAAACAAGGTACCCTTAGGTAAGCGCCTGGCCAAGCCCTACAGCTGGGCAGCAGGGCAAAGGGACAAGATTATGGCCCTCACTCTGCTCCTCCGAGGCTCCAAGGTCCTCCCTCCTCCCCCTGCAGGTCTGTGGGCCTCAGTGAGGCTTGGAAACCATTCAGCGTCGCGGTCAACCCTCTGGCTCAGCAGCAGTCCCTCTCCCCTGCTCAGGCTAAGCTCCCCCGGCCCCAGCCTCGCCAGCTGCTCCATTCTAAGCCAATCGATGCTAAACGAATGCTCTCTGCTGCCTGGATAACAGCCTCAGGCCAGGCCGGCTGCACTCAAGGGGTTGCTGGCGCCTCAGGCCACTTGGCACTTTTACCGCTTGTGTCCCTAGCACAAGCCCCTTCCTGAGGAGTCCCCTCCACCCCTCACAGCCTGGTTCAGCCCTGGAGACAAGGAAGCCAGCCAGAGCACAGCTGGGCTCCCCTCACTGCAGGATGTGGGGGGAGGAGAGCCAAAGAACACACTTTGGGGAAGAGAACACACCTTAGAGCCAGAGAGACCTGGATTCAAATCCTGACTTCCTCACTTAACAAGTGTATTTCCTTGAGCCTCACTTTTCTCACCTACAAAATGGGGATAATCACTTAAAGTTCTAGTCTGGCCCTCCTAAGTGTAGACACTGGCATCCATCTGCCTTACCTACATCTCCATCTGTCAAATGCAATCTGTCCAAACTGTGCTCTACTCTTCTCCCATAAGCTTCCTCCACCCAAATCCTCTCCATCCCAGGGAAAGGGGCTCCCTTCCCCGTGGCTGTTCTGGCTAAACACCTTAGAATCCTAGCGACCTTTCCCCTCCCGCCACAGCCAAGCCCCTGGAGGTCCCGGCAGCTCAACTTCAGGATTCATCCCAAACCCATCACTTCCAGAGGTCACCTCCATCACCACCTGAGTGGACGGCTGCAGCAGCCTCTGCCCCTGCCCTTGCCTCTACCTCTCTTCTAACGCAGAAGACAGGGAGACCCAGCAAGAAGTCTGCCAAACCCTGAAGGGCTCCCATCTTAGCCACGGGACACCTCTGGATCTGTGCCACGGCCCAGAGGCCCCACCTTTCCAGCCGTGCTGAGCTTCCCCACACGGAGCGCCCCACTCTGACCCTGCCATGCTGCCCCTCTGCTGGGAACGCGCCGCAGGGGTCTGCCCCGAAGCACCTGCTCAGCAAGCTTCCCCCAAGCAGCCTATTTTAAAGTTGTCCCTTCCCGGTTTTACTTCACTCCACAGCACTTACCTTCTAGCACATCAGACAGTTTACTTATTTGTTGCTTTCTTATGCTTCCCATGGACTCCATAAGGATGATGCTCTGTCATGCTCCCTGCATACAGGCGGGGCCCAGAAACCTGGCTGGGTCAGGAAGGCGTTTCCTGAGTCATTGGAGGACTGAGAGCCAAGGACCAGAAAGCTCTGGGTCCCAGGGCCTGTCCCACAGTCCATAAACACAGCGGTTTTGATCAGTTTTGAGTAGACGCAGCACCTCTGGGGTAAGAGCAGAGACTCCATCTTGGCTCTGCTGAGGGCCCCTTGGCCCATCCCGGAGGGGCAGATGGTAAGGAGAGCTCTAGGAAGGGGGATCCAGCACCAGATCTGTCAAAGGCTTGGGGCAGTGACCAGAATGAGGTTTCTGGGACTGAGGAGCTACCCAGAATGTGGGACTTTCAGTGCTAAAATTGAGACAGTCGCAAATCAACCAGAATGTTAGTCGCCCTAGCTGGAGGCCAGGACTGTGATCCTCTCATCAAAACCCCTGGGTGCAGGAGGGCGAGGAGGAGGGGTCAAACAGGCAGACATGAGGCCTGCGTCTCAGCCACATCAAGGGAGGCCGGTCTTGGTTAGCCGGGGCCGGTGAATGGACCTATGGACATGTGCGCATGCGTGTGTGAATGCATACATGTGTACATGTGTGTCTGGGTTAGGGCTGTGCGGGAGTATGCAGGCCTGTGTGTTTGTGTTTGTGTACTTGTGTGAACACACATTGCCTCTGGGAACCATTGATGGCAACCTGGGTCCCTTTTATCCTGCAGCGCTGGTGCATACCATCCCGGGAAGAGGCTGGTCCCTCTCCTGAGGACAGGCACACATGGGGAGGAACACTATTCCATGTCCCTGTCTTATCTCAGCGCTCACTCTGGTTCTGCTTTAGCTCCCGCTCTCTTCCTGACACGCTGAATTATGTACCCACCCCAGGCTCCTCCAGTGCACCAGGATTGCTCTCAGCTGAGAAGTGGGCGGCTCCTTGTTAGAATAACCTTTCAGCTTTCATCTGCCAGGGCTGCTCCCCCCAGAACAGGCCTGGCTGGGAATGCCGTGCTAACCGGGCTCCCAGCTTCTCCGGGGGCCCCACAGGAGCAACTCCAAGCCCCAGCCTTTGCCCGTCTGGTCTACTACCTCCTTGCTGGGAGGCCCTGCATGGGGCAGGGCTGGAGGCTGGCACGCAGGCAGCTCTGCACCCAGGTACCTGGCACCTTTCACACTGACAAGCTCAAGTGGGTCCTAAAACCTCTGCAGGTCTCAGTTTCTTGTCTGGAAGCTGGAGTCAGCACCTGCCCCACAGGTGTGGAAAGCAGTTGCACGGCTCAGCCCAGCAGTGAGCAGGGAGACCCTCCCCGGGCTGTGACACCGGGCTACTGCTGCTGGTAGCAAAGGGTGCTGCTCTCGGGCAGCGCTAGGGCTGTCCGAACCTCAAGGGAACTTAATTTTCATTTCTCCCACCTTGATGCTCCCAGACCCTACATGGCAGGTGGACCTGACAGATCCAATGCCAAGAAGGGCTTAGCCCAGGGTTGAAGCTCCTTGTCAGGACAAAGGGAAGGTGCCCTGGCCTCTTCACTTTGCCCCCATCCCAGTCTGTCCATCCTCATCTGGGCCTGGCAACTCTCTGTAGGAAGCCCCAGGCCTGTGGACTCTACCTCCCCCTTCTGCTGCTTCATAAAATGTGCCCTCATGTTGCTCAAACTTGCTTCTTAGATTGGAGCCCCTGTACTTGGGTTCTGGAAGCCCACCCTTCCCAGAAGTTTCTGGGCCCTGCTACCTGCCTGGGCACCTTGAAGAGCCACCTGCCCCTTCCCAAAACAACAGAAAACTGGGGACCCGTTCATAACCAGACAGGAGCAATGCTAAGTGAATGTCCTAGGTACGTCTGATGAGGCAAGAGGCCCCTCTGTGGGTATGGGACAGTCCTTGGTGGCAAACGTCTACTGAGATGCCTGCCAGGGGATGGGGGAGTCATGCAGGGTGCGAAGGAGAGGGAGATAGGTGGGAGTCTACCGAATCCTGAAGACCACAGCATTAGGCAGGGCGAAGCAGTCAGCGATGCAAAGCAGGAGACGAGACTCCACCTTTGAGAAGCAGGTGCTGAACTGTGGCCTTATTCTCGGTCCTCAGAAGAGCCAGCCCTTCCTTGCTGTCAATGAAAAGCATTCCAGATTGGCATCTGGGCTCTGAGCCAGCCCATGCCTGTCAATCACCCTGCTCTGCATCTGTCCACCCACCTCATTCACGTGGAAGTCTGAGCTTCCTGCTTGGTCCCACAGTGATAGGAGACATGGCTATTGCCCTCATGGGCCTCCCACTCTGAGAAGAGAGACAGCCCAACAGAAGTAGCCAGCCAAATCCCAAATGCTCCTGGAAACATGAAGAGGGGGCGATGCAGGCAGATGAAGGGACAGAGACCCCTGGGGAGGTCTTCCTGAAGACTGACATCTGAGTTGACACCGAAATGATAAGAAGCAGCTAAGGAACAGCCTTCCAGGCAGAGGGAATGGCAACGGACAAGGCCCTGGCGCAAGACTGAGCTTGGTGCAGGTGAAGCGAGAGGGCCAGGAGATGAGGTCAGAAAGGAAAAAGCCAAGTCTTAAAGGCCCTAAAAGCCACAGTAAAGGCTTTGGATCTAATTCTGGGTGTGGCAAGAAGCCACGAGGAGGCTGAGGTGGGAGTGACGTGATTGGATTTGAGGGGACGGGTTGATGGGGAGCAAAAGTGGAGGCAAGGGGCTGGTGGCTCTTGTCTGAGACAGACGTTGGGGCCCTGCAGACAGAAAGGTGGACAGCCTGGGGAAAAGTTTGCAGGGACCCATGTGCAGGAGAAACGGAGCAGGGGCCGTGAGGTGGCTTTCAAGCTCTGGTCCCAGTGACTGAGAGGATGAGGGTACCACTGTGAGACGGAAGGAACCGAGAGAAGCAGGCTTGGGGGCAACCAAGGGCTCAGTTTGTGACATGTGAAGCTTGAGATGCCTCCTCGCGTGTCTAATTGGCAGCAGTTGGATGAACAGAAGAGGCGCCCAGAGGTGAGCGGGACACTTGGGAGCCACCTGCATAGAGATGGCATTTCAGTGTGGGAATGGATGAAGTCACCTAGGAGAGTCAAGGGGAAGACACGGGACTGAAGCTGCGGGCAGCACGATGGTTTGGGAGGAGGGCAGAGGAGGAGCCAGCAAAGGAGCAGGGACAGCTAGTGAGGTCAGAGCCAAGCCAGGACAGCCTGATGTCACTGTAGCCAAGAGTATCTCCCAAAGGAGCGAAAAATCAATGGGGTGAAGGCTGCTTAGAGTTTATGTGAGGACAGCAAAGTGCCCAGCTGATTTGGTGGAGGTAGCTGGTGGCCCTGGCAAGTTCCTTTTTGGTAGGATGGTGAGTGCCGGAGCGAGGAAGGGGAGGAGGCGCGGAGCTGGACTGGCCAGAACAGGTGAGGGTGTCCCGGAATCCCAGGGACTCACAACAGCCAAGGCTTGGGTCTCATTCCTGAGACAGGGGCATGGCTGAGGCTCTTCACAGGGACACGGTCAAGAGAGCATCTTTATCCAGAACACTGCTGGGAAAATATGTGAACGCAGCCAGCTGCTGGCTTCAGGTGTCTGTCTCAAATGTATGCATTATTCCTGCTCACGTTTCATGTGGCCCTGCTGTCATCATGGGGCGGGGAAGGCACTCACGGGGAAGCCAGGGGGCAAGGGGTGTTACTGGGCACCCAGAGTTCATCCATGCAGGCATTTTCCCCACCAAGGAAGCCAAGAAACAGGGTAGAACTTCCTGGAGAATGGGCCAAGGGAACTTATTATTTTTTTTCTTTTTAAACCTTTAAAAAAATTATAGTTTTTTCATCTTGAATTGACACACAGTAATTATACATATTTATGGGGCACAGTGTGACAATGTGTAAATGATCACATCAGGATAACTGGCAAATCTATCACCTCAAATATTTATTTACTATTTCTTTATGTTGGGAACATTCAAAATCCTCTTTATTAGCTATTTTGAAATATAAAATTAACTGCCAACCAGAGTCACCCCACTGTGCTATGGAACAGCAGGACTCATACCCCCCATCCAACTGCACCCCTGCACCCCCAACCTCCTCTTGGCCTCCCTCGTGCCCTCCCAGTGTTTGTTTTGAGGTGGAAAAAACAGCACCTGTGTGCATGCCAGCGAGCATGATTCAGGAGGACAGGAAGAGCGGGACTGCAGTAGCAGGCCGGGGAGGGCGGAAGAAACTGAGGTCCAGAGCTCAACAGGGACTCCTGTGACTGCTGCTGTGACTGGGACAGTGGCATGCCCAGAGGAGACCATGGAGTTAGCCTTGGATGGCTGCCGTTCCCTCCATGAGAGGCCAAGAGGAAGGTGGGTGTTGCAGGGGAAACAGACAGAAGGAGACAGACATCCCCTGTCCCAGATAAGCCAGCTTCTCCAGCCACCTGAAGGCCGCAGAGGGCTCTGTAGGGTGGCACAGCACCAACCTGGTTTGAGGCCCTTCTCCAGTGATATTAGCGACTTGGGTGCAGCAGTGGGCAGAGAAGGCGCACGCTGGGCGGGGCTTGTCAGGTGAGACCACGGAATCAGAAAGGACGAGAAGCTGAAGGCATTTGCAAACAAGGGAGTTGAATCCCCGTGGACCCAGCCTCTGCCCAAGTTCTTGTCACTGCTGGCTGGGCTTTGGAGAATGTACCTCATGCCTACCAGATGGTTAACAGGCTTCTCAGGTCTTGCCTGAGCCCTTTGTCCTTTCGTCCCCTCTGCAGACTCTCCTGATTGGGCTCCTAAGCCACAGTGGAGCCCAGCCAACAATCTCAGGTCCCCGGCTTCCAACTGCCTCCTCTCCTGCCGGCCTGAGCCCTGCACTTTCTCCGGCGTCCCCTATCCGCATCTCCAGACCCTGGGCCTAGGAGATTTATCCCAGCTAGCCCTTGGCATGGACTTCCTGGGTAGTTCCCCAAGCCCTGTTTTCACCTATGAGGATTTTTCTTTAAAGTCATTCACCATAATTTAATTAAAAAAAAAAAATACTTGCCAGTTGTGGGAAACGTAAAACATACAGAAGTAAAAAGGAAGAAAAATCACTGCATTCCCATTACCCTTGACAATCGCTGCAGGTCCTTGCTGTAACTTTTTTCAATGCTTCCTTCATTTATATAGGGCTGTATAAAATTTAAATAAAAATTTTATTTAAAGAAATAAAAGTGGGCTCATGCTGTATGTGCCGCTCTGTACCCTGTGTTATCAGCATCAACCATAGAGATTCATTCATCAGCTGTGTTCTAAGGAAGCAAAGGGAACCCAGAAGATAGAATAGTCCCTTCCCTGGGACAGGACTGACGGGGAGATGGGCACTCGGCATTCGACCATGGCCATATCTACCTGCCCCTTGTAAGCAGGAGTGTAGAAAAAGATTCTGGTGGGGGTG